GGACGTCACGTTCACTTTCCCGATCGTCTAGTTACTCATTTCTCCTAGATCTTTGTATGTCCGCCGGCGTCGTTCACATCGCCCTCCGGTCTCGGAGGGGGGTACTGTGCTGAAGTACTTGACTACTTAACCTTTGACAATCTTGTCACGTTTGTTTTACTGTAGCATTCGTTTTAACGTGATGAGTACTCCGCTGCTTGTAAGCTTCGCGCCGCTTGCATGCTCTCTGGTCAGGTAGTTGCACATTTTGAATATTAACTTTATTCACTTACTGGCCTTCCGTTTATGAGGTTAGTAAGCCGTAGTTCGTTAGTTCGCGGGAACGACATAATTTACGTCATACTGTCCTCCCTTATGTTACTGTGCAAGTCTGATGATGAATAATCGAAAGTGTATGTTTGCCGGACTTAATTTTCGTTCTTTAAATAAAGTGTTTGTAAAAAAAATTTAATGCAACCTTTGGGCAGCATAAAGCACACAAAGCCCTTTAAACACCCCCATTGTCATGCTTTCAGTGGACTACACAATATTTCTAACCTAGCAGAGAGAACGCTATCAATGGGACTTTAGTTTTACTGGCCCAGAGAATAAAGTTGTCTTTGACGTCCATACACTCTTTTTCACAGAATTATGGAAAAAAATACAGAATTAAAAATGTCAGATTTGACAATCGTAAGTTTTCGACTATCCGTCGTTAGGATTGTACTAGTTATAGGAGGACAGGTAAGGCCGAAAACAGCCAGTGGACAGTAGTCATGAAGGAGGGGAGGGGGGCGGGGTTTAGGGCATTGAGGAAATCTGTCAGTTTTTTCTGTGTAAAGCGACTTGACAGGATACGGGTACGAACATGCAGGGCCCAAAGTGAACTAGGGCAGCTTGAGGACGGAAGAAACCTCTTTTTTTGCGAACACACTGCCGGGTTGGCTAATCGTCTGGTCACGGCTTCGGCAACTACAAGTATCCGCTGGCGCAGGATCTAAGAGTGTCTCACTAGTACTTTATAGATGACTCGAAATGCTTGGCTAACGTCCACTCGGCGAGCCACAAGTACGTTAAACATACGGCTTTCCCATGTCTTGATTTAGTCAGACGGGATGATGTTTTCTCACCCGCACAAATAAGCACCTAATCAAGCGACTAAGATAACCTGTTCCACAGGGATAAGTGAATGCGTGGATGCACGCTAAAGTGGTCTGAACGTACAGCCTACCCTTACCCTCAAGGCGAAGAATCGGAGTGCTTTAAGGAATAAGGCTTATCCTGACTACTCCGTACTTATGCTCAATAACGAAGTTCGTTGAATTGATCTCCTCTAAATGGCAATATGAGAAACAACACGTCCGTCTTTGATGGACGCTCTTCTATAAGTCTCGTGATTGACTTTTCGGGGGAACTGCTTTTACGCAGGATGTGTTGAATAAAGACGAGTCCGTCCTCCAGCTAATCCGGAGTGCACAATCTGCTAGTTAGGTTGTTTAGGCAGCGCATTAGGCCTCGTTTCTGTGGAATTCTGTGTAGTGTCCTGACCACGTTTTCTTGCGAAATACTGTCAGGCGACTTGTCTCGTTGGACGTTCTACGAAGTAGATAAGCGAAATTAGTACTTCTGAGTGGTACAGATGGCAGCCGAACGAGGGACGCGCACCCCGGAACCGTTGGGGCAGGCGTCTGAGTACCCTGAGTGAGACATGCCTGGCTCAGTTTTGAAATTGATTGTCCAGTTTGAATAGCTGTGATTGGTCGAAAACTAGGCCGAGTTTTTCGGCTTCAGTGAGTGACCAGACGCGATGGGAGCAGCGTTCAGAATTCCAGAAGGAGCGACTGCTACTGGCACGTACGTGCAGACGTACATCAGAGACGGTGTTCTATCAGGCGCCCGGAATAAGTATTGTTCCAGCACAAAACATGGACGTCGATAGTAAAAAAGTTGAAGAGCAGTCGATTCTTTTCGGGAACGCGGCAGCAATCAGAGAGTTCGATCGAAGTTGTCAGTCTCACTGAGTAACTAGGCGTACATACTACTACCTGCACGGGAAGCGCTTGGGAGACCCGTATGCGAGTAGATACGCCATTTGGTTGCAGAAAACCAACGAAACTTTTGTCTAAGCCTTTAGTTAACACCTCTATTGGGAGTGCGAAGCAGCAATCTTTTCCCACCGTCTCACCTAATTTGTGCAGAATCCGTATATTTCGTAGGCTATCGCAAACAGTAGAATTTTTGAGGACAGTGAAGGTTCTACCGGCCTCCGACATCAAATGGCAAAGGGAATAAAGCACTTTCTTGTCACATTCCTAAAGCAGGCCACAGTGAGAGTTGTGGAGTCTATTTTTTTCAGAAGTATACCAAAACACAGGTGTCAGGGCTATAAACTGAGGAAATTCTTAAAGCTTTGACTGATATGCCAGAATAAGGATTCGCATGAAAAGAACCACATCAAGGGAGTCGCACTACTCCCTACTATGGAGTAAGCGTGCTAACTCACGAAATGTCATGAATTTCACAAGAAAATATCTGTAACGCAAAATCCACCCACATCATGCTCGCCAAAGCCTTATAATAGTCAAGAAACGACCATTCTTAAAAAGACGGTAGGACTGGGTTTATAAGTTAATATTTACTAGCATAAAAGTTATGGGAACGGCTGGCAGAAGGACACCTGTTAGCTGTCGCTAGGCTGCGGATCGTGTGCCTATGCATGTACTTGCGAAATCTAGTTAGGCACTAATGACTGCTAGTTGTAGCCAAGAGCGCAGAAGCAAAAAAACAGAGATCAACTAAGCATGAATTAAAGGAAAGCAGAGATGTCGGCCAGGGGATAAGCTTGTGCTGAGGCACCGGACTAATTTACCTTTGAGAATTTAGTCCCGTTTTCTTTGCCCGTATTGCTTGTTTGAATGTGACGAAAAACGACACACCTGTGCAACCCGCCTCGCTGGCCTGCTTAGCTGTCGCGCTCGGTTGTCAGGTTACTTAACGTTCAGAATTTCTATATTATTTACCGGTCGATTTTACTTGCTGCCATTACTACTAAGGGCTCGTGAGATATAGCTCGTTAGGTCGTGAGAGCATTACCATTTACGTCAAGGTCAGTTGTTCGATGGCCAAGCACCCTTTCAGGATTAAACGCCATGAAACATCCGACTGGATACCGTATGCGCGCACATTCAAAATTTTACTCGAAATTACCTTTATTACCACTGACCGGCTTCTGTGTTTTCCTGCATTTCGTCAGCTTGCTGTGCGGCGTGGTGCTCCACCCGTACACCCCCCATTATCACAATTTCCGCAGGACACAATCCGCAGCCTACCGACCGGTAACTGAGGTCCTTCACCCAGCCGTTGCCAAGATAATAAATTTTCACAGGAAACCAATATTTCAAAAGACAGTCAAACTTAAAATCACTCAAATAAGGCCTGCATAAGGAATGGGAAGCACTAAAGGGGAGGGGTAAATATTTAAAAAGGATAAAAAGTACACAACATCAGTACCCTGTTGACTGTCCATTTGCATTTTGAAGCACCGAAACGTCCTTTGTACATGGAGCTTGTCAGGTTGTCTAAAGTCAATTGTTCAGTGTGGTTCTCTTGCGAAAATTTAAGCTTTTCTTGCATCGAGAGTATCTTCTTTGCCTTGTGCCACTTTCTTTTTTTGCTAAAAAGACCTTTGAAAGGCTGTTGACAGGAGCAAAAAGTTGATTGGAAGTCACAAACGCAGAGGTTGACTGTTGTCTAAAAAGGTAAACTACAGTTGCAGGCGCTATTAGCTTCATACCTCTGTGGGCCTATGGACAGGGGCATTGTCGGGCAAAATTGTCGTAAATCGTAATGTTCTCACGAACTAACGAGTTATATCTCACGAGCCCCTAGCCTTAAATGCAGCAAGTAAATCGGAGCAGTGAATAATATAGAGGTTTTTGAACGTTAAGAAAACTGACAACAGAATACCACAGCAGAGCACGCTAGCACGGCGGGTTGTACAGGTGTGTCGTTTCTCGTCACATTCAAACAAGCAATGCGGTCAAAGGAAATGGGACTAAATTGTCAAAGGTAAATTAGTCAGGTACCTCACCACAGTACCCCCCTTCTAGACCGGAGGGCGACGGGATACGGCGCCGGAGGATATGCACAAGTCTAGAAAAAATGGGTAACTAAACGATCAGGAAAATGAACGTGACGGCCACTGCGAGTTATGTATGCAGGAGGTACAGTCGAAGAGGGTTGACTGCGTGCTGTGGTGGACGATGGTGTTGCAGTTGCATGCTGTTGACATGTAGGGAGAGGAAGTATGTGGGACGGAGGGGTAGAGGGCAAGGGAGGGGAAGGGCAAGGCAGTGGGCAGGGTGAACGAGTAGGGGATAGGGAAGATGGAGGAACAGGGGTTAGGGGGTCAGCACATTTTTGTCCTTGTGACAGGTCCGGCGGCTCCTCTGC